AACCCGTGGCTGGAGAAAAATCCAGGAGAAAAGTCTCCAACGAGACGCGAAAGAGCATCGACGTTCACGGGTTCCCAGGAAGTCGATTTGCATTGCAGATCGACGGAAGAAACGTTCGGTAAGGTCCTTCCATCCGAGTCCCCGCCATAGATGAAAACATTAAACGGGATCCCTCGGAACGGGAACGTCGCGAGGTGGAATATTAGCATGGCCTGGTGATTTATCGTCGTGGCCGCTTCTGGGTTTTGTGTCCCGTGCTCGTAATGGGCAATAACGCGACGATGATGTGCGCAATTATCTCGCTGTTCTTCGTGCGCCGCTTCCGAAGACAGCCTCGAGGAACCGAACAAAAAGATGGACGGACCTCGATGCGGTCGCAGCACCACTGACCTTGGTCTCGAGCACGTCCCAGTCGATACGAGCCAGAGAATTACGCTGGGGATCGCCTCACCGAGCACCTTCGAATCCCAAATGCTCGGTTAAATTGCAAAATTATCCATAACGATCCTCCCAACGACCAACGGATTCGATTTCGAGCGTCCTAAGATTTACTTCGAGATTCAGAAAGTTCTCAAACTCGAAGCCCTCCCGTTCTTGAATTCTGATTCATCGTCGAAGAGAAAGAACGGTGCAATAGGCGATCTATTCAATTTTTAAATAAACTGTCCGCGTATAGCTTTCGAAAACAAACTTTTCAAATTTCTTTATCGCGCCGTTTATTCCGAAGCGAAGGAAAGCATATTCGTCAAAGAATCGTCGAGTATAAACTGTTTTCGCAAGGGTGAGTAACGATTCCAAGGAATTACGATTCTCGGTAAAATATTTTTCACCCAGGAGGCCAGATTTTAAATATAGCTTCTCAAATGGATCGGAAACCTACGAAAGTTACGAAACAATGTGACCAAAGAATTATCCGTGCTAGGTAACGATCGAAAATTTCGTTGTTCTTGTCCAGATGTCCAGATTTCCAAATCAAAGGATCGTTTAACAATTCTCGAATTAATCTTATTATTTTTAAATATTGTTAGGAACGAGTAAACCTATCTAAGCTGGTTAAGATATTTTAATAGGTATGAGCTAGTACTAAAAAATATTTTAGTCCTTTAATAATTCTTGAATTAATAGTATTTTTTAATTTCAAAGCAATCTTTTCAATCACAAATATTTAAAAACAAGCATCGATAGAAAAGCAACATTTGAAACACTCGTGATTGTATATATGGATGATTGCTTTATCGTTGTTTTCTTATTTTGAAATATTTTTTAATACGAGCCCTATTAAAATATCTCGACCAACATGAACGGTACATATATTCGTTCCCAACAAAATAGAAAAATACTATCGATTCAAGGATTATCGAAGAACACGTCGATCTGTAAATCCAATCTGGAGTTTAATTCTGGCTGGTCGTACGGCGGCCGCGAATTTTCGACGTAGCAACATTCCGATCGTTACACGCGGTCAACGTTGCACCGACATTGAACCAGTGCAATGCTGCAATGCAGGTGGACCAGCCGGTGCAGCTGGAAGATGCGTAGGCAGTCGGAGGCTGCGGGGCCACCGTCTACCGCAAATCTCTCGCTGCTCCCGCAGATGTTATCTTCGCCGCAAGATATCTGGGACTCCGTCTCCCTTTACAGCACAACCTACTCGATGCCCACTTCGCAAGAAATCATCTCGCCCGCGTGGAATAGGAAGAGACGATGAAGAAAAGGGCAGGGACCGAAATGTCACGGCGGACAACAAGGACGAACTGATAGGAGGAGACAGGACGTTTCACAACCCTTTGTCTCGTGGCTCGAACGCAAGAATATTATTCTGACGGTGAATAATTCATTGTGACAAATGGACGGGGGGTACACGGTCCCGCGGGACCGCTGATAGGCTTTGCTCGTTCTTCTAATCCGCTTTTTGTAACGTATCAATTCGAACAGGATACACGGCTACGGATCCAACCGAACGGTTAGCTGGACTACCAGGAATCGACTTAACAGGTTTACCCTCGTGACGCGATTTTTAAAATTCTTTTACGGAGCATCGTGATCAGGGAAAGTTTGGCAAACATTTAATCCCAACAACAACAAAAAGTATAAAAGAATTCTTTTTTTATTCAATTTGTGTACATTTAAAAGAACGACAAAACTTGACGATAAACTGGTTCGATTTCGAATTTGGAAGTGTTCTTTTAAGTCTGCTGACTCTTTGATTCGCGGGGAGCTTCTCGAGCAAGAATAATCGCGGAGAGGAAAGAATACGGATTTGCAAGTTAGATTTATGTGAATCAATGTAGCGCTAGAAGATTCCGTAATAGGACGAAGTGAAATTGAATTCAGGAGTTCAAGGATAGAACTGATTCTCCAAGGACGATCATGAATCACGGCAGACCCGGGCTGTTTGTCTCTAATGGCTCGTTTCAATTTCGCTGAAAGACAGGGCAGCGTGCAATACCGCGGGGCTAATTTAAATCGAGCTCGCAGGAAAACTTTGCTCGATTGAAAATTTGGCCGCGATGAATTCGAGGGGGAACGGTTCCGACCATCGTGCGTTCCTCGAATTGTTTGTTTGAATAATCCCATTATTCTTTTCGCTTGAAACTTCGATAACAAGACTCTGTTATTCCATCGGACTTTCGAAAAACGAATTCCATGTTTAATCCCATCGAAACTTCTCAGCTTTGGCTGTGATTTCGTACCTTTGTATTCACGGGAACCTCGGATCCTGATTTTTCCAGAACTGTTTGGGAATAATAATGTTTATTTATCGTTTGTAAATTCGCGAACAGACTGTATACGATACGAGACTGATACTTGAATTATTTTTCAAGTTATACGAAGATATACTTAGGATGACAGTTTGGAAATAGTAAAGTAGAAAAATAATCTGTTTCAATGAACGGATTCGCGTGCATGCGTTATCAGAATTCAAAATGACGTCGTTGCGTAGCATTGCTCCAAAACGTACGCGAATTGGCAAACCACCAAACCGTTTGATCCGTTCATTGAAGAAAAGCATATATGTTCGTATTTGACCCCCCCTCGACTCGAGCCATAAATCATCGTGCTCGACTGGAAAGCCACTGTTAGAAATAAATCAAAATCTACGTGCTGATGATCTTGTTCAGCATCGGTGTTTACGATGCATTCACTTGTAGTAAAAAATGGCGGCACGCAGGTTCTTCGAAACTGCATCTGGAAATCGAGAAATGCTATTTGTGGCTTCAAAAGTATTCCGACTGGTACAAACGATCGCTGAATCTGCCTTTATACGCGACGCGGTGTACATTTACGCTGGTAGAAACAGGTAGCAGGAATTAACAGGTAAAAGATCGACAGAAAGGCACTGCCTCGCGGTGCTCGACATTAAATCACTGGTAATTACGAGCACCGCCACCGGCTTTGTCTTCCACGTACGTGCATTATCAAGCATCTATTCATTACCGCAACCGTAATTGCGCGTGTAAACGAGTGCGCGCAGAGACCACACGCCAGTCTTACTTCCAGTCCCTTTATTATCCGGGTGCAGAATCGATCGACTGACATTCCAGTAGCACCAAGGTGCAGCCATGGCTTTCCTTTGCCCCATAATTTCTAACCAACGCGAATGCACGGAATCACGGGAACGCGTGACTCACGACCTACATTCGTCCGAAAGCCGTGACACCTTTTGCCACAGCTACACGCGGGGGTTAACGTTTATTGCTCGTAAATAGAGAAACTCCTAGGAGCGCCGGGATCCAGAGATCGATACCGCGTTACGACGCTTCCATTCGTAAAGGCGTAATTAAAACGAAGGAGCTTCCTTTAGAAACACCCCTCGTTCGATCTCAAATCGATCGAGCCACCGTGGTAAGATTGGCGGGAAAAAACGAAGTAAAATATTTTTTACAATGCAGTTGTATATTTTCTGGAAGTTTAGTCGCGTTGGTGTACGGTTTTAAAGCTTCGTTACGAAATTCGAGGAAATAGTAGCGTCGCTGAGTATTTTCGAGAGCATGTCGGATTGCTCAAGAGCACCGTATAACAGGTTCGGTCGCATTTGCTTTGGAACGGCGTTTTTCGAACTGGTTCCCAAGTTTTCTAGAAATGTAACGAAACGTGTATGGACTTGAAATTTCGACAGCTCGGTTTTTCTTCGTTCCTTTACGTTTTGCGTGAAAAAGTGTTTTTATACTTTCCCTTGTCTCACAATTGAAAAGAATCGAGACAGAGGAGCGTCGGTCTTGTCTTAGCGGTTTCCAATTGTAAGACGAGGAAGAACATAGAAACGCACGTGGTTTCGACAATTTACTCAAAAATTAGTGTTTTTGTCTCGTAACTTCTTTAATTAAAAAGAAATCTATTAAAAGCATGTTTGTATCGTACAAAACACGGATCATACGATGCTTCCTATGCACGTATCGCGATCATTGTAGAAAGTTGGAGCATCTATCGACATGGTGAGCAAAGAACAGAGAGTATTAAACGAGGATCGAGCGGTTGGAGTTTCGCGATCGGTTCGCCAATCCTCCCGTCGACCCCGGCGAACAAACACCGTGTCTCTATCCTCTAAACCTTCTTGTCGAACGCGTGCAGGAATATGTAGGTGGTTAGGTGAGCAGTCGACGCGGTATCAGGGGAGCAGACAGGTAGAAAGAGAGTGGACAAAGGCAAAAGGAGAAAGATGCCGGAGACCGAACAAGAGGAACAAGATGGGAGCGGATGGAGGACGAGGGGCGGAACGAGGAAACGCGGAGAAAGAGAGAAAGAAAGAAGAATGGTGGGGTTGGTACGAGCGGCTCAAGCACGTGGGGCCTACTCCGTGTGTCTCGTTCAGTAGTGCTCTCGGTTGCCTTCGAACGATTTCGCACCGGATGTCCATCGAGCCTCTTCGACGTGTTCAGCGCAGACCGTTCGTCCAAACGTCGCCTCGTCGCCGATCGAAACGATCGAGAATGTGACCGTGTTCGTCTCCCTTTTTCCAAACAGACGTCGTGCCCAACCCCCCCGCCGTCGCGAATCGTTCCAAGGACCCAGCGATGGCTACGATACCAAAAATCCTGCTGACGTGCGCGTCGATCGTTCTGCTGGCGATCGAGGTTGCCTCGGTCGATCGCGTCGCCGGTGATCATCGCGGTTACACCAGCCACAGACTGATCTTTCCGCTCTGGTACCACGAGAAACTGGCTCGTACGCGACACGATCGCGACGCGAGGAGTTTCCAACAGACGACCGCGAAGAGCTGGTCGCGCCAGGACGACGCGCTCGAGCGATACACGTCGACGATCGCGCCGCAGACCGGTGCGCCGAGACATCACGTGGATCATCGTTTCCACGAGCAACGTCCCGGTGCCACGAAACAGGAGAAATTCAGCGCAGTCGCTGAGTACGGCGGGACCAGGGCTGTCGCCTACGCCGGTTATCACAACAATCATCGTCATCAGCCGCGGGAAGCCGTCACTCAGAGCTATCAGCATCTCGCGACAACCCCGACGACGTACACGAAACATCATCCCGGGTGAGTGAACGGCGAAGCTTTCACGCCCTTGGATGCCCCGATAGGATCGTTGAATGCGAAAGTGTACCGGATTAATCCCCTATTGCGCAATGTGCACCGATCGGGAACGCGATAGACGCGATCCACGGCGAAAACAAACGGGACCGTGGGCGTCGCGAACACGTACCGAAATTTGCTTCATCGATGATCCGTATACTCTGGCTTTTAAAATTATAGAAACGAAGAAAATTAATAAGTTCTACGAAATATTCAATAAGATAAGATTGGTCGTACGTTGATTTCTAAGTATATTCATGTTTTAAAATCATTCAAAGGTTTTATATTCCGCATTGCCCCATAAAGAGTTTAAATTTACGCTCAGTGGTATAGACAACGTTTACCCAAGAAAAATGTCTGCCCGAGCGATTTCTTTCTCGTTTCTCATTTTTATCGCTAACGTGTGGACTTTCTGGCCTACCCCGCCCGTGCACATTTGTTTTTCTTAAAATCCATCTTATATTCTTAGGACGAACATTTTTATTCAAGTATTCATTCGCTTGCTCTGGGCTTACTTTCTACAGTATTTACTTTTCTCATGTTACTTTCTCGTTAAAAATAGATATAGCAATTTAACCGTTCATTTTATAAATCATGATACTGATTCTGATCGTACCTTCGTATAGAGTCGAGTACACTTTTTAAGAAAAATCGTATACTTTCTTAACACGTTGACTGCTAGACAAAATCCCTCAAATTGTCTTTGGAAACTAGCATACCCATAATTTGTTATCGAACTTATTTTTACAGACTCGTTAAAATTCAAGAGTCAAGAAAAAACATGTCACTCATATATGGGCAGTTGATGCGTTAATAAAGATAAATTATGCTTCGCAAAATTAAATTACCACCTTAAGAATGATTTAAACTGCTTTTACACGCGATATATGCATGCATATACCTGGTTAATTCGCTATAATTAATAGACGATGACTAATAAACCGCATAAACGTTGATTTTACTTCCGAGTACCGTTGTCAGGAACGATTTGCAGGAACTTTAAAGGACCAACCACGGTATTTACGGGTTTTTTCCCGCGAGGATTAATTTATTTTCAACGCGACCAACCCCCCCGATGAAATGAATAACCACAACAGGAAACGCAGAAATTGCTCGAAGATATCGACGATTCCAGCTTGATTATTCGGACCGTTATCTGGCCCGTCATTGCTAATAACAGCTCGTTCCAGATGCCTTTGCGTCTCTCTGCAACTTAACGACGTTCTTGTGGTTCAAAGGATGAAAGTAAACACGTGTACAATTTGCGCATTCAAAACGCCCCGTCGGGTCATTTTTCATCCCGACGACGCGGGAACGTTTCACGTTCGGCGACAGGAATTAACGACGTTTCTCAAACGAAATATTCGAAGATTGCAAAACATGCAATTATCCGTTCCCATGGTAAAATAAAATTCCGGAAGTTTTATCGAAAACACGGAGGCTGGAATAGCGTAGAGTTCGTATAATACAAATGACATAGTGTTCGCTCGAGTGTCACGGTGCTTATAACCGAGAGGAGTATTCATAAGTCGCGTATAGGTGGGTGAGTTTCACACGATGAAAAACCGCGTAAACTTTTTTAGTCGTCGAGCCATAAATCAAAGGAGATTAAATGTCTTTTGAACTGCGACGGGAGCTTCGAAAGATTAAGGACCACTCTCTGGGTGCAACGAAACAGAGACGATGGAAATCGCGGCGTTTTCTTATATTTCCACGCGAAAATCGAGGTAAGATCGCGAGTCTGGGCGAACCGTACCTTGGGACGGTAAATATCAAACAGGTCAAATATCAAAATGGCCAGCGTGCGGCCATTGTGTTAGACGGGACCGAAACCCACACGGAACTTCGGCGCAACGTCCGCGATCGAACGAGATCAATTTCTTCAGCCATCCACCTACTTACGGCCTGAAATACGCACTTCACCCACCTTTTTAGCATAAAATGGAACGCTTCGACGTAGGTGTCCGGTATCGAAAGGCGAGCGCGGACAGAGAATCGAAGATTAAATTCGAGCGGAAAAGTTTACGATCCCCCCATCTGTTAAAATGCAACTCACGCGTTTAAATGAGCCGCGGCTCGATGGAATTATCGCGCGGAATTTTAATCTATGGCCGGCCCCGTAATCTTTTCATGACTTTTAACAAAGGCTGGTTAATCTATCATCGCCCTTCGCCCTTTAACAAAGAGTATTCGTTTGCAATCCTCACCCAAGTTTGATTCGTAATCCCACTTGCATCCTCGACCGGGGCTGGTTAGCTTTTGGCCTTTCATTTTCACTCGCCTCGCAGCGTTTAGAAACTTAACGATTCGTTAGGAGAGAGTTTTTGTATTAATTTGTACATTCGAGAAGAATATTTGTTGGGAAAATAATTAAATAAGTGAACGGTCGGGATTGATAGAAAATTAATATTCGTATGTATCTTCTTTCGTATCAGTAAATTTGTCGTTATAATCCGTAGAAAACACGAACGTGTCACCGATAAATTTTAATAAGACCTTCGGGTTTGGATCTTCAAAACAAATTAATACAAGGGATTAAATGGCGTTTCTGGAAGATCAGAAAAAGTCTGGACGAAACGCCATTTAATTTTTGTACGAACTTGATTTGAAATTCCAAATTCTAAAAGCATAGTCGTGCTTTATTTATTTATTAAAGATGAATAACCACTGATTTAATCTTTATATTAATTGTAATATGTATAATATTATATAATTCCATTCTTATATTTTATCAGACGTACCTGATTTTTAAACATTTTTATAGTATAAAAGTCAATTTTTATCCATAACTTGTTCTTTCATACATTCATCGCTAGATGATCCTTATATTTCACAACAATAAAGAAATCGAAGAGGTACAATTTTGGCAAATCATCTCTGTTTACTATACAAGCATTCAACACCTACGTAGACGAATGAAATGCAACTTTGAACAGTTTTCGAATAGTTGCCTTTGTAGTTTTATTTTTGGATCAGTAAGGACACGACGACTTTGGAAAATTGAGAATTTAAATATTATGAGAATAAAAGACAAAATTTTTGTTTGGGAATGGTCGTTTTATTTGTACAGACGAAGAACTGACAAGAACACAAAGTAGCAAAATATTATTCGCTGTGTGAAATAGTAGTTTGAAAATTTTTAAAAGAATTCGGAATACGGAATATGGTATCTCTCGAAACATGTCTGAAGATTAAAACGAAGCTTGAAAATTTTCTTGATATAACGTAAACATTATGAAAACCTCGGAGCAATGCTGTTCGTTGTTATCTCTATTGTAGCAAAGAATTCTATTACAATCTTATCACTGTTTTGGTATTCCACGTTTGCCTGGATAATTGCAATTGCACGCGTAGGCCATCGAAAGTATCCGTAGTCCGTGGCCACTGCTTGCTTCTGCAAGAATTGCAAAACTTTCGCAATATTCAAGACATGCAAGACACTTAAGGCTTCCTTGATTTCCTAGGCTTCATAAAGTTTTCAAGATTTCCAATCACGAAGGTCTTGCAAAACGTTTCAAGACTCCTTGAGTTTCTGTCCTGTATTTGAGATACTTAACATGGAGCATTTTTTTTTTTGTATTTTTATCACTAATTTATTTGCAATTTTTGTAAAGTGTACGTATGCCCTCGTTGCCAGTAGATCGTGCGGTAAAAGACTGTTCATAATTAAAAAATTTCATGTTGATAATTTCTTTCGATCACTGAGTCTCTATTTCTACTTTATTTTCATAGTTCCGTAGTAAAATTGTAATGAGATTATGTGTGTAGTATCACAGGATTAAGATGGTTTAATTCTCATCGGTGCCTGTAACCTTCGTTCGTGAACGTTTCTCCCGATCGAGCGCAAAAGAAACACATTCAAGGTGATAACATTAAGTGAAACACCTTACGCGTACCTGCAATGATAAATTCGAGCCGTAAGTTAATGGCGCGAAATACGATAAATAACATTCACCTGCACGACGTTTTACAGAATTAATCTCATTACGTGTCCGATACATCGGACATAAAATGCGTGTCCCTGATATTTATCAACCTCCTCGTATTTACGAGCAACAAACTAACCGCGATCGAAACGGGCATAATTGCGTGTAACGTAACAAATGATTCGAGATGTGGGTAAAATTTAACCCGAGCAACAGATGCAAAATGAAATTAAACGTAATAGAAATTTACTTTGTTTAATCGCCGATGTTTATTCGATTGGATATTATTCGGATCAGTTCTTGCCCGTTAAACGCGCGACACGATATTATTCCATAACTGAAACTCCAATCTCGATTCGATCGGTATCAAACAAAAAATTATTTTTTTAATTCATTATTAAAGAGTTTTATATTAAATTACGGATTCTCATCGATTCTGGTTGATTTTGACTCGAAGGGATGCCAGAAAATATAGCATAGTTCTTTCTTTCTCAATAAATCGATGATTCATGAAGTTGGGTGAATCCCTTAACTATACCACGTGTTCGTATTAGAAAACCTCGTGTATTGTTTCGCAGTTAGGGCGTTCGCGAGGTTCCAGACGATTGCAAATGGCAATTTCGATGCATCGTTCTGCCTTTTCACTCGCGAAACAACACAATCGTAAAATAACACCTGGTCGAAGGAGCACGGACGGTGATTCTAGGAAAGGACTCATTTGATTAACGACATTTCGCGTGGCTCCGTTCCAAAGTAAGCGTCAGTCTTCTTCCTTCGGGAAATTCAAACAACCAATCGCGTTAGCGGAAATCTCAGGTAGATGTTATCCTACTCTGCGGTACGATCGTCGATCAGAGTTCAGTACAACGTCGACTATACCAGACGGTGCGACCTCGCTCTCGAATAATTACAAGGTACTTTGTTACGGTATTGTTAAACAATATTATTATTACAATTTTAATTTCGGTGGGTGATGGTCCGATTAATTCGTGCCTACAATGGTCCATCCTGCGTCTCACCCCCTAAAAGGCTTCTCAT